AAGCCCACGGAAAGTTTTACCTGGGAGTTGAGAAGACAGAGAACAGGCGTTTGCAGATGTTTATCCCTTAGAACTGTCCCAGCATATTCAGTCCTTAAAAGAATGTGTCTAGAATGACTGCAGGGCACTGGAGAGGCCAGTGGTGTTCCCTGCAGCTTGGAAGTGTCTTCAGTCTGGAAACACTCCATGGAAGAACTGCACAGACACAAGGACGCCACAGCACTCTGTGAAGTGTCTTGTCTGCATTGCTCTTTGTTTCCTTACTTCAAAGAGTAACTTTATTTTTTTTCCTTTATCCCTACTCATTAGGGATCCCTGATGAGACCAAATACAGACAAGATTTTAGTTTGGGCTGCAAAAATGGGCATGCAGTGAAACAGTTTTTTATATGTTTTGTTTCTTTTTATTTATATTGAGAGGGAAGCTTTGTGGCATAGAGTAGTATATACACATGAAGACTGTTGCTGGTCCCGTGGACTTTCTGCAACTAAAACTTGTGGTTTTCTTGTTAACATAAGAGCCAGAAACTGGAAGTAAGAAACAAATGTTTTAATTATCATACTTGCTTTGCAAGAGGTGCAGAATTGTGGACTCTAATCAAGAAGTAACCTGATCTGAGATGGTATTAGGTAGTTTTTCCATGAGTAGTGAAAGCTTGCATCATGAGAGTAAGACCCTCTGGCTGCTAAGGGGTTGTCAGGCAGGTGCTGATGCTGTCAGGCCTGGAAGGGAGCCCACGGTGCTGACACCTGGATGCTCCATCTGGCTGGGCTACCTCTTGCCTTACTAACAAGGGAAGGTGACCTTGCTGCCCACAGACATGTTCTTGCCGGAGCAGCAGCGTTAGTTTGTTCTCTGCTCCAGCTGTGGTGGTCCTCAGACAGCTACAGTCACACAGTTTTTATACAATCATTTAGGTTGGAAAAGACCTTTAAGGTCCTTGAGTCCAACCATTAACCTATCACTGCCAAGTCCACCACTACACTGTGTCTACTGCACTACACTTTGCCACTACACTGTGCCATCTCCTCATCTTTTAAGCCCCTCCAGGGATGGTGACTCCACCAGCTCCCTGGGAAGCCTGTTCCAATGCCTGACAAGCCTTTCAGGGAACAAGTTTTTCCCAATATCCAATGGTGCAACTTTGAGGCTGTTTCCTCTTATCCTCTCGCTAGATACTTGTGAGAAGAGACCAGCCCAAACCCACCCCTCTGCAGTTTCCTTTCAGGTAGTTGTAGAGTGTGATAAGGTCTCCCCTGAGCCTCCTTTTCTACAGGATAAACAACCCCAGTTCCCTCAGCTACTCCTCAGAAGACTTACTCTCTAACTCTTCACCAGCTTTGTTGCCCTTCTTTGGACACACTCCAGCACCTCAATGTCCTTCTTGGAGTGAGGGGCCCAAAACTGAACCCAGTACTCAAGCTATGGCAGTCCTGATGGTAGCATAATTCATTGTTTTGCCTTGGTAGAGCCCCAAAAGAGACAGGTCTCTTGGCTTGGGTTTTGTTTCTGGGTTGTATTTTTTTTTTTTTTTTTTTTTTTTTTTAAATATTAGGAGTAGCAAATTGTAATGATGTCTTTTAAAAAAACCCCAGTTGTCTAAGGAGAGCTGGACCTGGTCAGGAGCGTGAGGTGCCAGGTCCTTGATGGTGCTCGGTTGCTTGGGCAGATGAAGAGAGCTGGGAAGCAGAACGTGGGTGGGGATAGCAGAGCAGCTGCTGCTTCCCAAAGCCCCAGCAGCAGGAGGCTTTAGGTAGGGAAGATCCCAGCAGAGAGCTCGAGGTGGAGACTGGGAGAACTTTCACCCTTCCTTCTCCCCATGAGCTCTGTGTGTGGAGGATCAGCAAGCTTGGTCATGAGCAAATGGGAGCTGTGGCTTTGAGAGAAGTGGGGCTTCATCACAGAGACCTGTGTGCAGTGCTGCAGAAAGATTTCTGCCCTTATTTGGAGGATTTCTGTAGTTTTCTTTGGCAACAAACAAGGCTTTTTGTAAAAAGATGTGATATTTGGTAGAAAACTTGCAGTGGTGGGAAATGGTCTGTGGTCAGCTCTCCTCGTTACACCTCACGTCTATCACAGCAAAGCCAAACTGCCTCAGAAGTTCCTGGTTTGCTCTTTCTGTTTCAGCACCCAAATCCCACGTGGGAGGACACTGCGTGTGTCTGGCAGGCATCCTCCTGTCCAAATCCTGGGTGCCTGGTGGCGAGGAGAGGTTGAGCTGGGACTGAATGCATGCAGAGGTTGTCATGTCCTGCTCCTGGTTGTTGGAAGTGACCTGTGAAGTGTAAAGCCACCAGGCAGATGTTATCTTTTGATGAATTCTGCCCTGCTGTGCTGCCCCTCTGCCAGTGCCAGGGTGAGCCCACGTGGCTGACCTCAAAAGCGGGGCTCACTGGGGCTCTCAGTGTGATGGCCCTGCAAAGTGATGCTCATGCTGATGTAGTAGTAGATAATAAATGTGGAATAATAAGCACATAAGAAGCTAGGTGCAACAAATAGAAACGCTGGAGGAGGAGGTGGCAACACACACAGTAGCAGTGCCCTTGCTTATCCAAAGGGATCTCTTCTCTTCTGCAGCACAGCAGGTGCTTTATTTCTGCCACCATAGCTCATACGTGGGATGCATTTCTTCCAAATCCTTTGATTCCAAATTCTTCCAAATCCATTGTTACAAATAAATCACAAGGGCCTACAAAAATGACAAACGCCTGGAAGTTATTGTGGAAACTACCTGTAAGTTTCCAGGTCACAGTGATATAACAAATATAAACAACAGAATTACACTGGCCGAAAGAGAGCAGTGCTGCTTTTAAAAAAGCCAATCAAATCAGTGATATTTGGAGATAGTAGTGTATCTGGATGTGAGGGAGGAAAATCAGATGTGGGCTTCTGCCCCCAGAACACTGGTACCTAAAGATTTTTGGTTGTTTTTCCCCTGGCCAGCTGTGGGAATTTCTGATTGTTGCATCATCTTGATATAAAGACTTTTTGGGGACTTGATCTGGGTTTAGTTATCGCTCCTGTTCCCACGTGTACTCTAGTGTGAGAGTCTGACATCGCAGGTTGGGCACCTGCATTTTGTTTTTAACAAGTTTATTTAACAATAAGTAAGGATTGGGCTAATGACAGAACAGCCCAGCTTGGAAGGGACATCAGAAGATCATCTGGCCCAGACTGCACCTGGACTGAAAATGAAAATCCCACCAATAAAACCCCCCAAGGAGGGTGCAAAGAAGAACTGCTGAGCTGCACGACGAGAAGCAGGGTGCCTCTGGAGCCTGCTCCCGAGGGCAGCAGATGTGTTTGCTGAGGGTGGGAGGACTGAAGGGGTTATTTGCCATGGCTGGGGGTGTGGCGGGGTTCAGCCCATGTGAAAGTGGGTGAGCTGGCCAGGCACCCAGCCTGCACTTGTGCAGCCTCCAGGAGAGCCTAGAAAGCAAGTGTGAGTGGAGCAAGGGTGTGGGGGTGAGTTGCCTGAAGCTCCCTCTTGCCGTGGCACAGGGTGAGATGAACCTCCAGGATCCCAGGTGAGGGTCTTGGGAGTGGCACCGTGTTTCCCTGTGAGTGTGAGGCAGAATCTTGTAAACCTGGAGTGCTGGGAGGGGCTGCAATTGAATAGATCAATAGAAAATAACTGCGATTTTGTCCCCTCCCTCGTTTTATTTGGTTAAGCTGTGCACATAATGCACAAATAATGTGCTCATCCTGTGCTTCATGGTGTACTAGGGTCTTATCCAGACTCAGAGGCAAGTCCAGCCATCGATGACGAAGTGATTGAAGAGGCTTTTATTAGTGAAGCTCCCCGTGAAAGGGCCAGTGAAGCCCTCAGTGTATGCTTCTGGGGCAGTTAAGTCTAAGAATCAAAAAAACTGCAGAATATGTTTATTGTTTTGTCTCCTGTTCTGTCCATCATAAGCCAGCAGATAACCGTGGAGCACAGCTAGGGCTTGTGAAGGTCTCAGGGGTAAGAGGAGCATGTTTCCTGTTGTGTACACGTGTTCCTGTGACTAATTAAAAACTTTTGGCTGCTCTTCTGGAAAGAATAAGAATTCAGTATTCCCACCTTTCCTCTCTGTGGGACTTAAACCACAAGATTTGTGCTTGTTCCTTACTGCCATTTGTAGAAGAAAATGGAGAAACTTATCTTCTGGGGGGGGTGTTGTAATGAAACATCACCCAGTTTTCATTTTTCAAGAAAAAATTTCTAGTTGCCTGTAATATTTCAACAGTGGGAAAAGTTTCTTTTCTGCCTAGAACTCTGATTTCCCGTGAGTCCTCTGTTCCTCTCTTAGCAATTCACATGTGGGAAAAAAATAACCCCTCTGAAGGGGATGACCTTTTTCCTTCTTCTGTAGGCTGGAGTAGCTTAACTGGTCTTGCTGGTTAATCTTAATTTTCAGATAAAATATAAAGAAGATAAAAATCTTGGGTAATGTGTTTAAGAAGAACATAATGAAATATCACTCTTCAAATAATAATTTCATTTTTATTGTAATCTTATGTCTGTCTGGAAAGTGGATGCATTGTTAATTCTTTAAAAGAGGTCTTGGTTTGGAAGCTCAAGGAGAACTGCCTGTATCTCTTCAGAAACAGAAGTAGGTTTAAGTATTAAATACAGTTTTTAGTGGTTTTAAGTCTAAAAACAGCTGTTGTTGTCTTCTGCACTGCTCACAGCTGAGCTTTTCAGTGCATGCGGTTGCTGAGGATCTGAACTAACCCAGTTATACTGCCCAAATAGGAGGCTGGAAACATAAATAAGAAAAACAAATGCAGACATAAACTGGGATTTTTTGTTTCCCTCATTTTTAAAAATACCCTTAACCTACAAGCTGCACGTGAAAAAACTCTTCTTTGTAGGGCAAACAGAGTCCGACGTTGCTGCTCTCGTGCCAGCTGCTGCTGTGCAGGATGTGTCTGTGGAGCAGACAGGGCTGGTGGTGCCGTTGGGGTGAAGAGAGGTTTAACTGTGCTCTAACTGTTGCCTCCTCCGCCCCTTGCAGAGCAGCCGGTGTGGGAGAGCGTCGCCCCGTGCGCTGCGACCCTGCCGTGGCTATGCCAGCCCCTCGGGAGAGTCTGGGTACGTGCAGGGGCTGGGGGAGCTGCTGCCTCTCCTCTGGTGGCCAGGGGGCAATCTGCTCCTCAGTTTGCCCTCAGAGCAAATTGGTAGCGGTGGGATTTTTTAAACTCATATTCTCATAGTTTTGTGTGTTGGATTCAGTCAGATTTAAGCAAAGCTCATGAAGATGATCAAGATTTAGAAGGAAGGTTGGGGATTTCCATGATAGATGTGTGTTAGAGGGAAGGTTGGGGATTTCCTTCATGTCTTTGTGTTAGTCATGAGCCATTACGGTACCAGGGGTTTGCTGGTGCTGACAGTGTTTAAAGGGGGGTGCTGGGTTTGTTGGCAAGCTTCTGGAACAGGGTGGTTGTCCCCAGCTCCACGACTCACTAATTTGATGTTTGCCCTATAAACCAACGGACATAACTTTGACTCTTCTTCCCCCCTCAGTGTTTCTGTAGGCAAAGTGATTGGTGCAGGTGTCCTGTTTGTGGGTGGAGGAGTGGGTGGGACTGTCCTGTATGCCAGCTATGACACGCAGTTCCGGGAGAGCGTCGAGAAGGCTGTTCCCTACTCTGACAAGCTCTTCGAGATGGCACTTGGTCCTGCACCCTACAACACACCCATGCCAAAGAAAACAGTAAGTGTTCCCCACTCCCTCCCACCCTGCCATTTGTCTTTTTTTTTTATAGCCTCTGCTCTTAGTTTTCAAATTCTGATTAATTTAAAAATTTTAAGAATTTTAAAGAATTCTTAAACTGAGAATGGTTCAGACTTGTGAACCGAATTGCTGCTTTGTGCTGAGTGACAGTGATGCTTCTACATTACCCCTTATGATCTTGTGATTGTGGTCTTTGGGCTGTAAAACTTATTTGCAGTGAAATAATCTAGCAGGATTCTAACTTACTAGCTCTTCTGCTCATACTCAAATAAACTGAGGGGGAGAGAGGTGGGTGACACGCTGGAATTTGACTGGTTTATTGTGACTAGAGATTGAGTGGAGTTAGCGAGGTAGCGGGATTAGGTGGGTTTGATTCTAAGCTGAATTTATGTAAAAGAAGACTGGAACTTTTTGCATCAGTAACACTTTGAGAGGTACAGAGCCATGTGTAAGCATCATACTTTGAAATCCTAGTGACACAACCCTTCAGAAAGGAGAACTTGATACACCCTTTAGCTCAACTCTGGGAATTTAATCTGGAAGTTTCTCTCTTCCTGCATCTGAAAGCAAACACCTCCCAGTTATTCAGGAATGCTGAAAAACTGCGGTGGCCGTGGCTGTCCTGAGCTCTCAGAAGCCATTTGAGCTGCAAGAAACCCAAATATTTTTAATTGAAGCTTAAGAAAGCTGATATTAATGAACGTGAGAATATCAGTTAACCAGAACTGTATCTCTTCTAGTTTTAGCTACACTTGACTTGTGATCATCCAGGCTCTCCATGCCTCCCAGGCACTAGTACATCTTGCAAATCAAGACTGGCCAGACAGCACAGTATCCTCTGCCCAGTCGTGGCTCTAGCTCAGATGGTTTTATTTTTACCCTGTGGCTTTGCATTGTGCATATTAAAGGATTACTATAAAACTTTGCAGTGCTCTGTGCTTGAGTAAGATACTAGTGTTTGTCTGCCCCAAACACTAGTATCTAAATGCCTTCAAAGGGAAATTGGTGAAGCCATGCAGCTCTGGTACCTGGCCTGTCAAACCCACACCATGTCTGTAGCATCTTCTGGCCAGTTATAACCAGATAAAATCATGTTAGTTCTTTTTAAACCTGTCTTTGATTATTCAGTCGTGCTTCTTTAAAACAATCATATATTTTCTCCACTACAACTTGAAAAGGAATTGCCTAGAAACTGAGCAGGATGACTCCCCTAAGGGCTGGTGGACAAAAAAATTACAACTGAGGGAACAAGGTGTTAGAGCACTTACTTGAAAAACTGAAGCTGAGTAGAGAACACGGGTGGCCTAACTTGTTTTGATTCAGTGTGTCAGATGTACCTGTATGGACTAAATAGTGTCCAAGGGGAAATAATTGAAATCTGCTTTCTGGAATTGCTTGAGAGCTTTATGTAGTTGTGGTTTTTATAGCTTTGCATTATCTGTATTCTTTCAAAACACTCAGAAGGGTTTGGAGTGCTTGAGGCATTAAATTATTTGCCTTTTATACATAGATTAATATTTGTAGGAAAAACTGACACTGCTATACCTTCAGCTTTGAAGAGGTGACAATTGTAAAGATTCCTTCTAAATGAAAAAAATAAAGGCAAGAAATTATATGGCCTTGAAGCTTAGGTTTATGATACAGTTATGGACATGGAAATGTTCTTCTCTGTTACAATGGAAGTGGTGAGACACAGGCTGTTTGGAAAACTGATGATCTTCTTATTTTTGATTTTTCAAGGTACAGCCAGGTCCACTGAAGATCTCATCTGTAGCAGAAGTAATGAAGGAGTCTAAACAGCCCACTGCCAAATCCACCGTCAGCAAAACAGAAGCTGCTCCTCCTTCAGAGGAAAAAGAAGGTAACTTCACAGGATGTCATGTAGAGAGAAGCAAAAGACTTAATGATCTCACACATCATACATCCTGTGGTAGATTAAATTGTCCTTTGGAATGGTTGAAGTTGAGTCATGTCTTAGAATTGATGGTATTTCCTTTTCAGTCGTAAGAAAATTTATCTAAAATGGCTTTAGCTTTTTTGTGCCTATTTTTGAAAATATTATTTACCTTGTAATATATTTGGAATCTAGCACAACGTACCTGCAAAGTACCTGCAAAAGGTGTGCATAGGTTGATGAGCTGTGAGGTCAGGTGGCTGAGTTGTGGGATACAGGTAAAAGGCTGCACGTTATTAGAGGAGCTGAGAGGGAGATGATAAATAGTTTGAAAACCATGTTCCTGAGGTGGACACCACAGGGAATGAGGCACCTTGGACCCTGGTGACCCACAAAGCAGGACTCTGCTTCAGTCCCCACCCTCCAGCATTACAACCAAACCCACATATGAAGCTTTAATGGCTGTAGGTGCCCACGAGGAAGGTCTGCAAGGAGAAACTGCACCAGCAGCACACAGTGGGTACCACAGAAGGAAGCAGCGTAGTGGGTGGCTTGCTGTTAAAGGGCACTGAGGTGTCCATCTGCTGACCTGACAGGGAGTCACGAGAGGTTTGCTGCCTCCTGGGAGCTAAGGTCTGAAACGTTTCTGAGAGGAGGCCACAATTTATCAAGAGCACCAGCTTGACCAGTTGTCATCTATTCACTGGAGTGTCCACTGCTGCTCTTTCATGTAGACACGAAGGACAGCACAAGCCAGAACCTGGGTGAAATCAAGGAATACTGTGGAGCCCTGGGGGTGCAAGCAGAAAGTCTTGGTGCCCAAGTTCTCTTTTCCTGCATTTTACCCATGAGAGGAAAGGGTGCAGCCAGAAATAGCTGTGTAATGCAAATCAGATTCTGGCTTCATGAGTGTGCCATCATGAGGGTCTTGGCTTTTATGACAATGGATGTTCTTCTCTGGCTCTAGCCTGTTAGGGAGGGATAGGACCCACCCGTCTACAAGAGGTGGGGGAATCCTTGGCAGCAGGCTGACCAGCTCGGTGAGATGGGCTCTGAATTGAAGGACACAGGGGCCAGGATCCAAAGTGTCAACACTCACATCATTGCAACCAACTGGGGGACAAGCCAGGCCAACAAGAGCCACGACAGATGTTCCTTAGCTGCCTCTCCAGATGTGAACCAGAAGACCAGCTGCCTCAGGAGTATGTATACCAATGCACACAGCCTGGGGAAGAAACAGGAGGAACTGGAGCTCTCGACCAGTCAGAAAGTTATTCTCTTAGGAATAACTGAAACGTGGTGGGACAACTCCCGTGGCTGGAGGATCCTGATGGATGGCTATAGCCACATGTAGGCTGTTTCATGAAGGCAGATAGGGAAGAAGAAATGGAGGAGTCGTGCTGTGTGTTAAGGAGAACCTTGAATGTATAGAAATCAACTGAGGTGATTGTGGAAGCCCTATTGAGTGTCTCTGGGTCAAGATCAGAGGGGTTGTCTCCAAGGGGCATGTTACAGCAGGCGTCTGCTGCTGACCTCCAAACCAAGATGGTACGGCCAGCAGAGCAATATTTGGGTCACTTAAGCAAGCTTTGGGTCAACAGAACCTGGTTCTTATGGGTGACTTCAGCTACCCAGACGTTTGTTGGAAGAACAGTGCAGCAGGTCACGTGTTATCCATCGAGTTCCTGGAGAGTGTAGAGGACTGTGTCCTCACACCAGTGTTAGATGTGCCAGCCAGGAACGAGGCACTGCTGGACTTGCTGCTCCCACACCAAGACAACCTGCTTGGGAGTAGCTCAGCTAGCAACAGCCTTGGCTGCAGTGGTGACAGTACAGTGGAGTTTGGGATCCTGCTGAGCACATGGAAGGTGAGTACTAAGACAAAGCTTTTAGATTTTAGAAGAGCAAACTTCAACTGTTGGGCCCCAGACCTTGGGAACAAAAATCCAGGTCAATGCGAAAACAGACCCAGCATCAGCAAAGGAAGAGCTGGTATTTGAACTGTTACAGGAGCTTGACAAACTAACTGGTGAACCAAAAGTTATCCACCTGGACTTGAAGGAGGATTCAGGAATTGATAGGCTCATCAGTCTTACTTCAACCCCTAGGAAAGCTATGGAGCAAATCCTCTTGGGGGCTGTCACAAACCAAATGAAGCTTGTGGTTGGAGAAAGCCAGCATAGACTCACCAAGAACAAGTCATGCTTGACAAACTTGATTGCCTTCTACAACAAAGTAACCTGCTGGGTTGATGTGGGGTGTGCAATGGATGCTGTCTACCTGGATTTCGCCAAGGCTTTCCATGTGATTCCCCACAGCTCCCTCCTAGGGAAGCTGACATGTTACAGCCTAGAGGAGTGGTCTGTGTGGTGGGTGGGGATGTGGCTGACAGGCCACACCCAGAGGCTGGTGGTAAGTGGCTCCTTTTCAAACTGGCAGTCTCTCACAAGTGATGTCCCCAGGGATCGATACCCAGCCCAGCGCTGCTTATTGTCTTCATGAGTGATGTGGATGGTGGGTCAGGCACACCCTGATGAAGATTGGTGATGAGACCCCAGACTGGTTGGGGACACCTTAGAAGGGAGAGCCATGCTGCAGGAAGACCTGGATAAGCTGGAAGAGTGGGCTAACAAGAACCATATGAAGTTCAGCAAGGACAAGTGTAAGGTCTTGCATCTGGGAAAACATAATCCAGGAGTGTGCAGCACAGGCTGGGATCTACCCAGCTGGAGAGCAGCTCTGTGAAAGGGGACATGAGGGTCCTCATGGACAATGAGCTCAATGTGCATGAACAATGTGCTGCTGCTATGACAGAGAAAGCCAGTGGGATACTAGGTTGCACAAAGGGCATTGCCAGCAGAGAGAAAGAAGTTATTATCCCTCTCTACTCAGCACTTGTCAGGCCACCCCTGGAATACTGTGTTCAGATTTGTCCCTGCTGTGCAAAAAAGGTGTGGACAGGCTGGAGAAGGTCCAGAGCAGGGCCACAGGGATGATCCAAGGAATGGGAAGCTGCCATATGAGGAAAGGCAGAGGGAACTGGTGTTTTTTTCAGAGAAAAGGAGGCTTGGGGGACACCACGTCACCATGTTCAAGTGTTTAAAGGGGGCTGCAAAGAAGATGGAGAATCCCTTTTTACAAGGAGTCATGTGGAAAACAATATGGGGTGATGGGTGCAGGTTACTCCTGGGGAGACTCTGACTGCACACAAGAGGAGAATCTTTTTTTATATGTTGACAGCCGGCCATGGGAATCGTCTCCCCAGGGAAGTGGTGAGGTCCTCAACATTGGATACTTTTAGGATCAGCTGGATGATGCTGGGACATCTTTTCTGGATGGTGCTTTTGCTAAGAAAGGTTGGATCAGATGATCCTTAGGTCCCTTCCAACCTGGTGTTCTGTGATTCAAGGACTGTCAGGCACAGCTGAGGTATGAGACTCAGCTGGAAGAGCACTCTGGGGGCTGCACTCTGAGTCCATTTACCTCTTCTTTGTGCAAGCACAAGAAGCCTAATTTTGGCTAACTGCTGAGCTACTATAAAGGCAGATCAGATGGAACTGGTTTAGAGAGGAACAATTGTGACTTCTTTTTACATTGATCTCTCATGACCATGTCTGTGTGTGTGTGTCAGTAATACCTGGTTACTCTTTGTCCAGAACATTCGCTTGTTTTCTGAAACCAGTAATATCAGTGTCCAAGTAATGTTTGTACAGAAGGAAAAAATGAAGTATCTTCTCTCTGTTCTGACATGATGGCTCAGGGGTGTGTTCTGTGACTGTCCTTCCCAGCAGGCGAGGCTGCAGCACAGATCATCTCCGCTGCAGGCGTAGCCGTCTCGGTGCCAGCTCCGGGGATCCAGACTGAGGAAGGTGATGAAAATCATGTGAACATGATGAATTAAAACAAAATCTGTAGCTTCGGGTGCATAAATTCTTCTGTGTTGGTATTTGTCAGTTTTTAAAAGCGGGATTCTCTGTGCTTTTTGCAGAAGAAAATGTCCATCATCTGTTAATAGATGTTTAGAGTACTAAGAAGCTGAGGTGGATACGTGGGGCAGGTGTCAGTGTGAGTGTGAGAGGAGAACCTGCCTCTGTGCTCAGCTGGAACTTCTGCAGTCCAGTTTGCCTCTGCCCTGTGTGGCTTTCTGAGTGCTGTTCAGAAAAGCATGTCTGCCCAGGGCCAAGTGAAGAAACTGCATTTAATGTTTAACTCAACAAGAAACACAAGCTTCTGTATGGTCGTAGAGGGAGAGATCATCTCTTTCAGATGAGATGACATTAATTTCTTTCTGCATGAAGGCATCTCATAAAAAGTGTGCCAGCAACAAGTACAGGCTTCCTTCAGCGTTAGCATGGGCATTGCTGCAGGGTAACCTGATGGGTTGTGTTGCAATATGAGGCTGGGAGCTGGGAGGTCTGGGGCCTCTCCTCAGTTCAGATGCAGACTTGCTGTTGGTCTTGAGAGAATTACTTAGGTCAGTGCTCACTCTTAAAGGCATTCTAAATAACCTCAGGCTTAGGGAATAGAATATAATTGTGATTTATGATAGCCCTGACACTAATTTTTCATTATTTTGGCTGGACTCTAAGTGTGCCAGAGGAGAACTGAAAAATACCCCAAGAACAGATAGTCACTTTAAATTTAAACTTGGCTCCATATTGTATGTATTCCATATTGTATTCCAGTTCTTTGCCTTTCACTTCTGAATCTTGTTTATTTTTGTAACTGGGCAACATAAAATCTACAGATGTATATGAGGTATCTGTGGTACTATTTTTAATTTTTTAATTTTAAGGTTTGAGACTGGACTTGTGGTTATGAATATAAAGAGGCTTGTGGTAGTTTCAGCATAGCTCCACGCAGAAGTCAAATTTATAAAGTGATGCTGACTATAAAAAACAGTTTTGAAAAGAAAGTTCCTTCCCCACAAGTAACCCATATGCTACTTTGGACTCTCCACTTAAACAGTGACTTTGTTTACTTCTGAACAGATAAAGAGCATGAAGGTTCCCACGCTGTAAAAGAACGGTCACCAGAAGAAGTTGCGGCCAGACTTGCCCAGCAGGACAAAGAGGAGCAAGAGAAGATATCAGGTGAGTCCATGCTGATGGCTTTCATGTACATGTTACATGTGGCAGAACAATGGTTGGACTGTACTGGCTTTAGAGTTCTAAGTTACACACTTTGTTGCAGTCCCAGTGTTGTGTTGGCAGAATAATTGGTGTTGAAGCTTCTTGCACCCTCTAAGAAGTAACTGAGAGTCAAAGGATGATGGAACATTGTGGGTTGGAATGGACCTCCAGGGTCTCTAGTCTGTCCTCCTGCTAGGAGAGTTGGGACAGGTTAGATGTGAATAGACTAGACTATTTCAGTTGGAGGGGACTTAAAATGATCATCTAGTCCAACTGCCTGACCAATTCAGGGCTTAAAATTCATGTTAAAGCATGTTGAGGGCATTGTCCAAATGCTTCTCAAACACTGGCAGGCTTGGGGTATCGACCACCTCTGAGAAGCCTGTTCCAGTGTTTGACTACTTTCTAAAAGCCTAAATAATGATCCTTCCACAGGAAGGTTGCTCAAGGCCTTCTCTGTGAAGGTTTGAAACTCTCCAAGGACAGAGATTGTTCAACCTTTCTGAGCAGCTTTGCCAGTGCTGCTTGTGATGGACAACTTGGTACATCTGGTTAGTTTCTCATGTTGGCCCTTGGATCTGCTGTCTCCTGCCCTTTCTCTGGGCAACTCTGAGAAGCCTGGTTCAACCTCTTCTGTAACACCCCTTCACGTGTGGAAGGCATTGCTTAAGATACCCTTCAGCTTCTCTTCTTTACTCTAGAAGCAGCCCAGATCCTTCAGCCTCTCATCTGTGCCACAGTCCACCTTAGTGCCTTTCCACTATTCTCTCCCCAGTGTGTTCGTCTCTGTCTTACACTGAGGCTCTCAATCTGTGACACCATATTCCAGATCTGGTCTCGTAAGTGCTGGTTAGAAGGAAATCATTTCTTCACTTGGTCTCTGGGGTGCTGGGCTCTTGTTTCATGCAGCCCTGCTCACAATCAGGACTCATTGCTGCCAGAGCATGCTGTTGACCATGTTCAGGTTGCCATCTTCTGGGATCCCCAGGTCCTCATCTAAGTGAAAATAGCCTTGAAAGAGAGTTTAGCTGCAGGGAGGCTGCATGCTGGTTGTGCTCCAGCCTTCTGTGGGAGCTACAGCCTTTGCATTTTGTTATTCTCCTTGTGTGGGGAAAGGGCAGATGGTGGAAGAGGTGCTGGCACAGTGTCCTGCATCTGATCTGATCTGACCTGTCTGACTGCTGTGTACATGAGACAGCATCATAGACTCACAGATGGCTTGGGTTGGAAGGGACCCTGAAGATCATCGAGTTCCAACCACCCTGCCATGGGCAGGGACACCTCCCACTAGACCAGGCTGTGCAGGATCTTGGCAGATGTGTTAATCACACTCAAAACTGGCTGTCTGGCCAAGCCCAGAGAGTTGCAGTGGATGGAGTCAAATCCAGTTGGTGGCTGGTCAGGGCTCAGTTTGGGGGGCAGTCTGTTTAATGTCTTTATCAGTGATCTGGATTGAGGGGGTCAAGGGCACCCTCAGTAAGTTTGTAGATGACACCACATTGAGCAGGAGTGTTGATCTGCTCCAGGGTCAGGAAGCTCTGCAGAGGGATCTGGAAGGGTTGGATTGATGGGAAGAGGTCGGTTGTTTGAGGTTCTTCTCCCATGTAAGTAGTGATAGGATGAGAGGAAATGGGCTTAAGTTGCACCAGGGAAGGTTTAGATTGGATGTTAGGAATTTCTTTATTGAAGGAATGCTGAGGCATTGGCCCAGGCTGCCCAGGGAGGGGGTGAAGTCACCATCCCTGGAGGTGTTCAAAAAACATGTAGATGTAGCACTTTGGGACATGGTTTAGTGGTCATGGTTGGACTTGATGATCTCAGAGATCTTTTCCAACCTTGATGGTTCTATGATAAGATGGAAAACACCTGTTGGTTAAATGCACCCCTCTGCAGAAACGTGGTGAAAGTCTTTCCACGGAGGAGCTTAACTGCTCTCAGTGCAGATGTGCACCTTGCTCTCCTCTAAGTGAGGAGTGTGCTCTGGTGCCCTTCCCTCTGCAGGTGGCAGCGCAGTTCCTGAATGACCAACTCCTCTGGGTCATGGAAAACAACATGAGGAGCTGCAGAGGATATAACCTGTCATTTTACTAATTCTAAGGCTCTTTTCTTTATAGTTTAATTGATCTAGTTAATTTTTTTCCCAGCCCTAGCAGCAACTCTGGAGGGAGCCCTGAGCACCACAGCTCGTGTGACCCTTCAGGCCATCACTGCCCAGGAGTCTGCAGTGCAAGCAGTGAACGCCCACGCACAAATACTGAAGGAGGCCATGGACAATTCTGAGGTAAGCTGGACAAATAGGGGCAAGTTTTTTTTTTTTTCCCTACTGTGTTCAGTAAAACACCATCTTTAATTGTGAAATGTGAAGTTGGAAGCTTTTCTTTCAGTGTCTTTACTTTTATCACAGTTTTAACTAAGCTTTCCACTTGTGTCATGGTGTAGTTAAATAATATGGTGGGTTTGCATTTGAATTTTGGTGGGTTTTTTCCCCCCCAACTTTTATTTCCCTTTTGCAAGAAGAAAAGTTCAAGTTTATATAATGATAGTCTTCATGTTGTATTTGATTCATTGCATTTTAATTCCCAAGCCCATTTTTAACCAGGACATAGTTAGGGTATCATGCTCTCCACCCTCTTAGCTTCGTTGAACAATTCTCCTTACCAAAATCTTCTTTCTGGGTTGTTCATTTCCTGTCTGGAAGGGAGTAGGGGATGCAGGAGTGATACCAGCTTGTGGTTCTGGTGTGCTGGTGCTGGGCTTTGTGTGGAACTGCTGCTTCCTGCAGGCCTGCAGCAGAGCATTTCATCTGGTGGCTGATCAAACAAACTGGGACATATGGGCAACTAAACAAGCACTTGAGATTCAGTCTAGTAGTTAGAAAAAGAAGTGTCTTAAGAGTTTGCTTTTAGTCTGCTTGCTCTAACATGAAGCAACTTAAGTATTATACTTAATAATATTTCAGCTTAATTCTTAAAGCACCATAATACTTGGGAGCAATTCTAAAATATTTAACACATGTAGAGTTTTCCCCAAAAACATTGTGGCATGGTACAGCAATCCCCATGCAAGCTGTTCTGTGTGGACAAATGGCTGCTGCTCAGGTGGGAAAAAGCCCCTGATGTTAGAAATCAAACAAAATCAAAAGAAAAGGTTGGAAGAGGAAAAAAAATGGATAAAACTTCCAGCTGTGCTGCTGGTAAAACACAAGAATGCTGCTCAGCTGGATAAAGATGTTGTAGCAAGGTGTGAATCTCTAGTGGCTTCATTTTTTTAGAACTCTTAATTCTTTAGTGATGTTAATGACCCTAATTAGGACTCTGTGGTGCTTAGGCTGCCGGGGAGAAGAAGTCCTCTCAGTGGAGAACTCTGGAGGAGGCGCTGAAGGACCGGAGGAGAGCGGTGGACGAAGCTGCCGACGCCCTTCTGAAAGCCAAGTAAGCTGCTGCTTTCTGAGGCTTATCGAGTGGTGAGTCCAGGTCACCCACAGGAGGGCTGGCAGACACTGCTTGAATTCCTAGAGATTACACTGTCACCCGTGTTCATACTAAACTGCCACCTTTGTGCCAGATCAAAACAAGGTTTCATATGCTAATGAATGACTTAGGTGCCTGTGCACATAGTCCTCATGGCACCAGAGAGTCTGAAACTGTCCTGCTCTTCTTTTTAAAACTTGCTTATCTCTCCAAAACTTATGTATAGTGTTAGTAAATTCAAGTAAGATTGAAAAGAAATCACATCATTCTTTTAGTAGTATTTTTGAATCATTTTGTCAATTGTCCTATTGCAAGGACTCTGCACTCTCTGTGTATTTAAGTTGGTAACATCACTAGCTTCTTTCAACTGCAATGAAAAATGAAACCTTATGGCATTGTTTGGTGGTTCCATCTGTCAGCAGAGTTGCTTTTAAAGTTAGTTTTTTTATTAAGTACACATCTTTGTCAATATTAAACCTTTTGCAAGGACTCTGACTGCACTCTGTGTATTTAAATTGGTAACATCACTAGCTTCTTTCAGTTGCAGTGAAAAATGAAACCTTATGGCTTTGTTTGGTGGTTCCATCTGTCAGCAGAGTTGCTTTTAAAGTTAGTTTTGAATCCCAAAATGGAGCACTGCTCATAGCCCAGGGTGCCCTAAGAGCAGCGTTGATGTGCCTGGAGCCTGATGTGCAGCCTGACTCTGCAGGGATGGTAGCAGAAAAAGTAAGAAGACAGACAAATATCTCCAAGGTGCTCTTGTAACAAAGATAGAAGTAAATTTGGAAACCCTCTGGTGCTCCTGAGGCTGAGAGGGCAACATCATCGTTGAAGCTACGCCGTCGCTATTTAACTTCAAAACTTACCTTTGAAGTTGCTGTGCTGACTGAAAATAGTTACAAGGTGTAACTGAGGTTTCAAGGAGTAAAACAAAGCTAATGCAAACCCCTGATGCTTTCATTCTCTATGATTCTACTGGATGCCTTTGCTTTGATTTATTTACTTATTTATTTTAAAGTTTGCTCTTTATTCCAGCGAGATCATTAGAAACCTCCATTGGTTGGAATGGATTGGAAAAGGAATGCTTTTTGACTTTCACCTAGATTTCCAATTATGTTAGAGGAAAGCAATTCTTTCTTAATGACAAAAGAAGTGCTCTATCTTTACAGAGCCCTATAAATTTTCTCCCATCCTCATTTATGTCCACCACTCACCAAGACCAAAACACTTCTGCAGGAGTGGGCCACATGTATGAAAAGTGTTTCCTTGATACCCTGTCCTGTGATGGCAACATCTGCCTTCTGATATTAACATAGTTTTACTAATAACAGCTCCTTTCAGTGAACTTTCTTTCATCTTCACCTTCCAGCTAGGTCTTGAATACTAATTCCACTATAAATAATTGTCAATTTACATGGAACAGAAACACTGACATCTTTAGATTTCAGGCTGTGGAAAAAAAATAGTCTTTAATGACAGCACTTTAGCCATAGAGCTGGTAGAGGAGAAGCACCAGGACAGTTGTCCAGGAGTTCTTCCTGTAAACAAAGACAGCATGAAGGAAACTTTGCTTTGGGCTTTTGTTGTAAGACCTGTATGTGTTATAACCAGCAGCTGCTTCTCTTTTCAGAGAAGAGCTAGAGAAGACGAAAGGTGTAATCGAGAATGCCAAGAAGTCTCAGATTGCAGGAGCCAAACCTCACATTACTGCTGCAGAAGAAAATCTTCATCATATGATAGTTGACCTGGACAACGTTGTGAAGAAGGTAATGCCCCCACAGAGTGTGTGTGGTTGCTGTTGGAGCAAGGACTGCTCGGCAGCTTGCACAGATCTCCTGCTCCCAGGTCCTCTGTACTTCTGAAGTATAAATTCCATCTTTTTTTTGGCTATACTCAGTGTTTGAGCTGATGAAACCATAGGAGCTTCACAAGAACTTGAGCTCTGTCCTGAATGAGTTTCCAGCTGGCTTGACCACCATCAGCTCTTCCTGTGGGCAACTTGTGACTCTTCTATTTGATTCCAAGAGGTCAGGGAGGAGTAGGACCAGTGTGTGCTAAGGACTTGGTGGGTAAATCACAGCTCAGAAGACAGGGGAAGAAATGTGAAGGTTACCTCCTTTGCAGGCCAGCTGATAATTCATCAGGTGCATTTTGAGTGAATTTAACCTAGTAGCAGGAACATCAGAGCTCAGTGAGAGGAGGGGAGTGCCACAAGAGCAACTGGTAGGCCTGTGGGATAGCTGTAAGCAGAGGAGAGCTAGAGATCTTTAAAGATAGAACTGACTCTCTTGGTCCTGTCTAGGCTACAGACTGGTTACAGCCTGCCCATGAGACAAACTGGGTTAGTGGTAGTTCCAGCAAAGAGTTATTGTAAGTAAGAAGTGCAATATCACAGGGTGATTTTTTTTCTCCCCTGAGTGAGTCTGCTTTGGTTGGGCTGAGGGGTAACCATACCTGCCACTAACTCTGTTACCTGTGCTTGTGTCTTCAGTACTTGCCTTGAAAAATAAAATCTCATTTCTGTTTGTTACAGGTCCAGGCAGCACAATCTGAGGCCAAGATAGTAGCTCAGTACCACGAGCTTGTGGCTAAAGCCAGAGAAGAGTTTCAGCGAGAGCTGGACAGCATCACCCCCGACGTGCAGCCTGGCTGGAAGGGGATGAGTAAGTTTCTGACCGAGGGGCTGGTCGTGCTTGTTACACTCCAGCCACTCTGCTTTGTGTTTCTGTCACTACAGCCTCTGGATTGAACATCCAGCACCCTCATTTCCATGCTGCTTGGTTGGTTTGAAGTGGAAGTGAGGTCACAATTAAAATAAGTAGTCTAAGGCAGGTGTTATGAAAAGGCTTTTCTGCAAACTACCTGAGCTTGTATGGGAGGTTTCACAGAATGTAGCTCTGAGGGGTAAATAGCATGGGATTGTTTAAACATCTCTTCCCTTCCCTGGTATTCCAGGAAGAGTCCCAGGTCACTCCAGACTTGGAACAAGTCTGTGGTGCTCCCTGATCAAGTATTTGTCTGGTTGACTTTCAGTGATTGTAGATATTTGAGTATAACTTTATTGCAGGGTGATGAACTGCCTGAGTCCCTCTAGACCAGTGGTAGATACTCTGAAAGAGAGAATTCATGGCTCATACCCTGCCTACCCCAGTGTATGTTATTTACAAATTAAATCATCATGGAAACTTGCCCTGAACAATAGCCAGCTGCACAGCAGCACTGAGCAGGCCTCTCGTGGGGGTTTTCTGCTGCCACTACTACAGTTCCTTGCCCAAGATCTGACATCTCATGAGCTCGTGTTTATTTGAGGTGCTTGAGGTTTTCCCACTTGAGCTCTTTCCTGCTTTCCTTATAACAGAAAAGAAGTGTGAAATGTGATTCAAAAGCATAGTTAGACTGTTTCTCTCTTACTAGAGGAATAAATGTATTACCTGGAGCTGCTGGAAATGTTCATGCACCAGTGTTGCAGGAAGCAGGAAAGGAGTCAGGCTCACAATGGAGTTAGGATGCTTTAACAGTCAGCAATCCCCTCTGCACTCTCTGTGCCACAGGTACCATTACTTACCTTACCTTTTAAAGGCACTTACCTTGAAGTTTAAAGGTAGGCAGGGAAGCAGAGTTGCAGGAGGAGGAGTGTGTGTGAATCCCAGCACTGTGGATAAGCTACTGCAGGTACCCACGTGGTGCATCCACTGAGCAGAAGGATGTCATTCAAAAAAATTCATTCCCTCAAACACATTTCCCAGGTATTTGCAATCAGGGTTTTAACATCAGAGGTACCACGTGGTCTCAGGCCTGTGTAGCCTCAGTGTTCAGAGGGAGCTGTCACAGCTTTACTTCTGAGTTGCAACAGATTTCTTTCTGGATGTGATACCTACTGTTTGAAAAAAATGTGGTGTTAGTATTGCCTAATAATCTTCTCGAAGTACTCTATGAAGAATTACAACATACTCATTCTTTATGCTTTAGAAGTGTGGACCCTACCCCACAAATTCACTTTCCTAGCTAAATGAATACACCAGCTCTTCAGAATGGTCAGTTTTTGTTAAAAAAACACCAACCAGCCACTCAGTATATGTGGGGAAAACATTTTAGACTAACAAGTCGTTTATGGAGTTTGCTTTTGGGGTGTTAGTTTTGAAGGGAAAAATAAATTATTTAGGCACCCTGGCGATGGAGCTGCCTTTCCTTGTGCAGGGTGGAGGGAGGATATCTCGGGGTTTGTGACTGCTGCCTGTTTGAAGGAGGACAGGGCATCCATGTCACACTGGTGTGACCCACTGAGGTGCATGGGACTGGCTCAGGGTCTGTGACTCTGCTGCCACTTGGGAGTTTCTTTCTTTACTGCCTCTGATTTATAAGAACCTAGAAATGTCAGGCAAAACTTCTCAGTGTCCTGTCATGCTTTCTACTTCAAACTTGTATTCTCTGCTTTGGCTAAACTCCAGCATCAACCTGTGGGTTTCCAAAGGTGATTTTAGTGGTTGGGATGTTTTGGGCTACATCATGCCTGTAATACATGGAGACATTTATACTCAACATACTGTTTCTCCTGAATTCCTAAAGCTTGGGCTGATGTTTAAGTCCCTGTAGCTAAGAGGCTCTTGTTCTCTGTTTTACTTGGCATGACTGACTTCCTGTAGTGTACGTGCATTAACTTTTCCAACCTCTCCTCTTTCTGTTGCAGAGATAACTGACCTGGGTGAGTTCCTGTAGCTTGTTCTGGTCTTGTGAATGTCATCTCTTCTCTTTGTCCTTTTGTATGTTTGTGTGGTACATCAAGTTAAATTCCAGGCAGTACCAAGTGTTCCTAAAACACACCAGTCTGAGGTATGCTTTGGGATCCCTTCCACTAATTTTGCTCATCTGCCTTAAAGGACAAGTTCCTTGTCTAGCAGCACTTCCCAGGTCAGAGTGGTGGCTGGCTTGTGGAAGCCAGGTCTACATCTGCTTTGTGAAGTTAAGCCAGCTGATGTGTGCTGCTGAGATTCCAATGAGGAACAAACTGTGGCTGAAGCTGTGTGAGGATTTTCTCCTCCAGCAGGCCCACCTCACAGCAGTCCTGGCTTGAGGGAGCTGCTGGGTCCACCAGCTCCTGCTGACACCACTGAAACCTTTAGGTACTTTGTTGGCGTGCTTGAAAAGCCACATAGAGCCACTCTGAGCTGGGTCTCCAAAACCACATCCCTGTAATTTGAAGTTTGCTTGACTCTGAATATAATCTTCATGATTAAAGCCTGGCCTGTGGCAGGAGGGTTGGAACTAATGATCTTTAAGGTCCCTTCAAGCACAAACCATTCTGTGATTCTTTGAATGATTTTAGAAGTGTTGATTAACTCCTTGATTCTGAGGTGGATTATTGTTTATTTTTTCCCTTTTGATCAAAGAAATGGAATTTAAAACTGGAATGCAGCAAAACTCTGTCCTGTTTGTAACAGCTGAGCTTGATGGTGCTGGTCAGCTTTCCTGCTGGACACAAGGACTGAGCCCTCCTGTGCCAGTCCTTCTGCCAGCAGGATGGCATGACAGGTCCATGTCCCTCCTGTGCTGAGGGCTCCGGAGCTGGACACAGCACTCCAGGTGAGGTCTCACCAGAGCAGAGTAGATGGGCAGTAGCCTGTGTCCTTCCCCTCTCCCCACAGAAACCCAGCAGACTTCTTAGCAGATAGAGCTGCAGTTGTGACCACAGCTGCTCTTTGAATAGCCAAACCTGAAAGGTACAAATTTGGGTAAGAAATCTGACTGAGAGCAGTTGATGTGGAGGACTGTTGAAGAGAGAGAAGGTCAGTTCTGGCTGTCTCTCACAATGACTTCAGTGTTTTCAGGATCAGGTTTCTGTAAGCTTGCACCCAGCTGGAGGTGTTGGTGCTCGGGGTTTACGTATCCTGCTGCCACAGGGGATACGTGGGGTGTGAAGATGAGGAAATGGACAGAGTTCTCAACATCTCCTCTGAGTGTGACATGGAAGTGTAAAAAATAGCTGTGAATCATTTCAAAGAAACATAAGAGAATTTCTCTCCCTGGCAAGAAGGACTTGCTTGTAGGTGTGGCTCAGAAAGGGGTACTGGGTGGTACACGACGAGGGTTTGAAGTGCTTGGAAGCTTCTCAGAAAACACAGAATCATTAAGGTTGGAAAAGACCTCTAAGATCATCAAGTCCAACTGTCAACCCAGCACTACCATGACCACTAAACCATGTCCTGAAGTGCCACATCCACGCATTTTTTGAACCCCTCCAGGGATGGTGACTCCACCACCTCCTTGGACAGCCTGTTCCAATGCCTCACCACTCTGTCAGGAAAGAAATTCTTCCTAATAGCCCATCTAAACCTTCCCTGGCCCAACTTAACCCTATTTCCTATTGCTGGTAACCTGGGAGAAGAGACCAACCCCCACCTCACTCCATCCTCCTGTCAGGGAGCTGTAGAGAGCAGTAAGGTCTCCCCTCAGCCTCCTCTTCTCCAGGCTGAACCCCCCCAGGTCCCTCAGCCGCTCCTCACAAGCCATGTTCCCAGACCCCTCAGCAGCTTTGTTGCTCCTCTTTGGATCTGATTCAGCCCCTCAATATCTTCCTTATCCTGTGGTGCCCAAACTGACCC